CATATACACCCTACTAGATGTAAGATAGATAATGAATACAGACCTATTGTATAGCACAGGGAACTATGGAACTCAGTATTTTGTAATAAGCTATGAGGGAAAAGAATCTAAAATAAATACACATATATGTATGTATAACTGAATCACTTTGCTATACACCTGAAGCTAACACATTGTAAATCAACTATACTTCAATTAAAAAAAGAAACTAGGCATTTGATCATGTAAATAACAACTCTTGACAAAAGTGATGGAAGTAAAATGAAAGGATAAACAATAGTTTAGAAATATTTGTAACAAGAAAATTGAATATTCTTTAATATATATAAAAAAAGCTTTGTCAAATACAAAAAACAGCAAAGTAAGCTAGTCATAGAAGAAAAAAACAAAAGAGCCAATAAACACAAACAAATGTCCAAAGTCTGGAAGCTCAGAATTCAGTCTTCTTAGATTCATATTCTTAACCTGCCACTAACTAGATGGGTGACTTTGGGGAAAGTCCTTAACCAAAACCTCAGTTTCCATAAAATCTATAAAGATGGACCTAACAGGACTTCCCTGGTGGTCCAGTGGATGAGGATCTGCCTGCCAGTGCAGGGGACACAGGCTCAATCCCTCAATTCAGTTCAGCCGCTCAGTCATGTCAGACTCTTTGCAACCCCATGGACTGTAGCACTCTGGGTTTCCCTGTCCATCACGAATTCCCGAAACTTGCTCAAACTCATGTCCATCGAGTTGGTGATGCCATCCAGCCATCTCACCCTCTGTCATCCCCTTCTCCTCCTACCTTCAATCTTTCCCAGCATCAGGGTCTTTTCAAATGAGTCAGTTCTTTGTGTCAGGTAGTCAAAGTATTGGAGTTTCAACTTCAGCATCAGTCCTTCCAATGAACACCCAGAACTGANCAAAAGAGTGGTGTCATCTGCGTATCTGAGGTTATTGATTTCTCCCAGCAATCTTGATTCAAGCTTGTGCTTCATCCAGCCTGGCATTTCACATGGTATACTCTGCATGTAAGTTAAATAAGCAGGGTGACAGTATACAAGCTTGATGTACTCCTTTCCCTATTTGGAACCAGTCTGTTATTCCATGTCCATTTTTAAGTGTTGCTTCTTGATGTGCATACAGCTTTTTCAGGAGGCAGGTAAGGTGGTCTGGTATTCCCATCTCTTGAAGAATTTTCCAGTTTGTTGTGATCCACACAGTCAAAGGCTTTGGCATAGTCAATAAAACAGAAGTAGATGCTGTTCTGGAACTCTCTTGCTTTTTCGATGATCCAACGGATGTTGACAACTTGATCTCTGGTTTCTCTGCCTTTTCTAAATCCATCTTGAACATCTGGAAGTTCTCAGTTCACGTACTGTTGAAGCCTGACTTGGAGAATTTTGAGCATTACTTTACTAGCGTGTGAGATGAGTACAATGGTGCGGGTAGTTTGAGGATTCTTTGGCATTGCCTTTCTTTGGGATTGGAATGAAAACTGACCTTCTCCAGTCCTGTGGCCACTGCTGAGTTTTCCAAATTTGCTGGCATATTGAGTGTAGCACTTTCACAGCATTATCTTTCAGGATTTGAAATAGCCCAACTGGAATTCCATCACCTTCACTAGCTTTGTTTGTAGTGATGCCTCCTAAGGCCCACTTGACTTCACATTCCAGGATGTCTAGCTCTAGGTGAGTGATCACACCATCATGATTATCTGTGTCATGAAGATCTTTTTTGTATAGTTCTGTGTATTCTTGCCACCTCTTCTTAATATCTTCTGCTACTATTACGTCCGTACCGTTTCTGTCCTTTATCGTGCCCATCTGTGCATGAAACGTTCCCTTGGTATCTCTAGTACTTGTTTGGGGCCTGGCCCAGGAAGATTCCACACGCTGCAGAGCAACTAAACCTGTGCACCACAAGTACCTGAAGCCCTAGAGCCGATGCTCTGCAACGAGAAGCCTGCCCGCAGCTGGGGCCTGACCCCGCACTGCAGCCAGAGAACAGCCGACAGCCACAAAACCCCACAGGAGCAAAAGTAATTAATTATATACATAGTCACATAGCTATATATGTATATATATAAATATGTATGTATACATAGTTATATATGTATATATATAAATCATTCCACAGGCCACAAGGCATAGTAAAAAAAAAAATACACAGGATTTCTCTTCTTTACAATTTTATATGAATTTATAATTATCTCAAAATTTAAAAAAGATTAAAAGGATCAAGTACTTTGAACAATGAATTCATTCAAGGGAGTGCCATAAAAATTAATCAAAAAACATTGTTTTGGTTTAAATTTTAATGATTAACTACAACCTAGAAATCTTCCTTATCAATATTTGTGTTCTTTTGAAGATGGAAATTTTCTCTAGATTTTTGAGAATTAAGTTTTAATTATTTATTTACTGCCATGCTTTGAGGCCTGTGGGATCTTAGTTCCCTGAAGTGATGTGTTAGTCGCTCAGTCATGTCCAGCTCTTTGTGACCCCATGAACTGTAGCCTACCCAGGCTTCTCTGTCCATGGAATTCTCCAGGCAAGAGTACTGGAGTGGGTTGCCATTCCCTTCTCCAGAGAATCTTCCTGACCCAGTAATCGAACCGGGGTCTCCTGTATTTCAGGCAGATTTTTTACTGTTTACTAGTTCCCTGACCAGGGGTCAAACAGTCCCCACCCCCCAACCCCTGCCCACTTTGGAAGCTCAGAGTCTTAACCAGTGTACCAGCAAGGAAGTCTCAAGAATGGACTTTTGAAAAGTCTAAAGTCATTCCTCTACACAGGATATTTTAGACATGAAAATTATTCATTTTTTTAAAAAGGAAATAAAGGGGGACTTCCCTGGTGGTCCAGTGGTTGGGACTCTACCCTTCCACTGCAGAGGGAGTGGGTTTGATTCCTGGTCAGGGAACCAGGATCCTGCTGCATGCCACACAGTTTGGCCACAAAAAAAAAAAAGAAAAAAAGGAAGGATGTGGCTTCAAGCATAACAAGCTCTTTGGACTCAAGGCTTATCACTCTAAAGAAATTCTGGAGATAGGATTACAGAACTCAGACTCATAAAGAATCTTTGTGGTACAATCAGTCTTCATTATATCTTTTATTGGAATGTAACTTCAGCTGTTGTAATCCTTTGGACCTTGTGTGCACCATCATATAAAGTTGTTTTTTTTTTTTTTTTTTTTTTTACCATGTGGTATGTGGGATCTTAAGTTTCCTGGCCAGGGATCAAATCCATGCCCCTGGCATTGGAAGTGCAGACCTTTAACCACTGGACCACTAGGGAAGTTCCACCGTCATATAAAGTTTTGAAGATGAAAGATAACCCCTACAATAGAACACAGCTTTATTTTACTGAAAATCTGTGTTAATATGAAGATAACTCAGGCTAAAACACATGTTTGCCTTATTCATATTAGAGACACTTAGGATTCCACCCTGTTTATAGTTGGTACCATTGGTAAGTGACCTAGAACTAGATCTGGTTCAAGATCACTAGAACCATCATTAAGATGTTAGGTGAACTCTTAAAGATCTGTCCATTCATGTACTGGTAGACGTAATTGATGATTAGTAAAAACCTGAATTGTATGATGTGAAAAATCAAGTATTTGAGTAATACTTTAAAGTTATTCATCACTTCATGATATTTTCATTCTTCTTGCAATAAATATGCATGTTTACTTCAGAATAGAGTGAGGTTTCAAACGTCAGTTTCTCTAAGTTAATGTATTTCCAAATTTAAAATCAAATTACAAATTTTTGAAGAGTCTCAGAACAGATTAAATTTGGCACATATATATAATAAAGGCAGTGGATCAGCCAGTAAAAAGCTAGTATGAAGGTTAAAAGACAAAAGCAACTAAAACTACAATTAGAAGCTAAGTAATGCATAAAATAAAAAGATATAAAATATATCAAAAACATAAAACATAGGACGTGGAGAAAAGGGAGCACTTGTACACTGTTGGTGGGTATGTAAATTGGTATAGCCACTATGGAAAACACCATGGAAGATCCTTAAAAAACTAAAAATAGAACTACCATATCCAGCAATAACACTCTTTACAGTATCTGGAGAAAATGAAAACATGCATGCACCCCAATGTGCACAGCAGCATTATTTACAATAGCTAAGATATGGAAGCAATCTGGTGTCCCATCAACAGATGAATGGATAAAGAAGATGTGGTATATATGTGTGTACAGATTCACACATACACACAATTAAATACTACTCAGCGATTTAAAAAAAAATGAAATTTTGCCATTTGCAACAATGTACATGGACTTGGTAGGAATTACGCTTAGTGAAGCAAGTCAAAGACAAATACCATAGAGTTTCACTTACATGTGGAAACAATTAGACTGCAATCAAACAATATTAACTTATCCATAAAAAAAGAGGCACTCTTAGAACACTAAGAGTGAATCCTAATGTAAACTCTGGAATTTGGGTGATAATGATGTGTCAATGTAGGTTCATTAGTTATAAGAAAGGTACCACTCTGGCTGGGGATGCTCATAACGGGGAGGCTATGCATGAGTAAGGCCAGGGAGTATACCAGAAAGCTAATAAATTTTGCTGTGACCCTAATTTTGCTCTAAAAAAAAAAAGCCTTTAAAAAAGGCACTTACTCCAGAAAATTTTAAAGCTCTAAGTAGAGTTCTTATTGAGGCTTCATTTAGTTTACCCTATTTTCATTGTTGTTCCAAGTGGTTTGCACTATTTTGTAAATTCTTCAAGCAAACTAGTTGATTACAAAGCAAAATTAGATAAATGTATCTTAAATTCTGTTATACTATGTTATATATATATTAGTATATGCTATATAGAAACTATTATACTATTATTATAAAGTAGACTTTAAAGATCTACTTTAACAAAGTTTATGGCAAAGAGTCTAGACTTGTATACAAGATACTATTACCTGATCATATTACCTTTCTAATAAATTATATAAATGCTCACTGCTGATAAAAAAAATAATGTTCACCAATATGTCATATGCATGGTTAGTGTTTTATTGTTTGAAGAATGGTTCTGAAACATCACACTAAGTCAGGTTGGAAGGAAAAGTTTAAAATAGTTTTATAAGGATATAACACATGTACTGACTGTTCACTCTACAAAATCTTGATCATAGAGCTTATGATACACCTAGTTAGCAGTAGCACCCAGGTTTTCCAGATAGTCATTATTTTTCTCTTGTTTGCATAGACTTCTTCTCATTGGCTGCCTTCTGCTTTTGTTGCATGATCTCAGAGTCCCTATAATGGGGAAAAAGGCTATAAGTCGTTACAGAAAAACTATGTTCTCCCTTGTATTCTATAATAATCCATTCAGTGTCTTAGAAGACAATTAAAAAGAAGATATACAATTTCACATCTTTCCATTTTCATGGCTGGAGATGGAACGGGAAGGCAAAGAATGGAAATTCTTTGAAGTCAGGTCTTATTTTGAATACAATTTGTACTCAGGTATATGTGCGTGTCCTAATGTTTCATATATACCACAGATATACACATCATTTGACATGAGGCAGTTATATGCAGAAATAATGGCGATTATTCTTGATTGTCAACACAGTTAATTCACTCTAAATTTTTTCATGAAAGGGGCATTTCTGAAGTGTTCCAGATATCTTAAGTGATGCCTAGGATTAGGACATAGATGTCATTATATTAAGCAATTCAGTTTCTTACAAGCCAAAAGCCAAATAGCTAGTGATGAAAAATGGATTACACTCCAGCAGGATATTCAGGGCATTTTCTTAACCCTTTGAGTCTCTGGTTGAACCTGCAAGTACTGCGAACAAAGACCAAACTACCTGGCCTGGATGGTCCATGAGCCCATATTAAAAACATATTAAATCACTATATATTCAACAGCTCCAATGTGCCAGGCACTTTTCTGGCTATGAATTAAATCCCACAAAAACTTTGAGTTATCGTCTTTATGTTTCAGGTTTAAAAGTTAAAGGCTTAGAGCTAACTTATCTGCCTCAAATCACATAAAAACCAAGGTCTGTCCAGTTTCAAAGTCTAGACTCTTTACTATATTGTCACTGCATATTTAATATTAGGTTTTAGTTCAGGATGAGTGGCTCTGTCCATGTCATTAAGACATTTCTGTAAAGCCAATAGCAAAAATAAAGAATGAGAAGGAAGGAAAAACAAGACAGTTACCCTAAAAAATGAGGTATCCTGAATAAAAAGTTATTCTCTGTTTGTAACCAAACTCTGCTGTGTCCGCTGTATGACACTAGCAGTGTTACTGACGTTCAGAGTCTCAATCTCTCATTGCATGCATTGAGGCTAATACCACTTTTCAGGACTGGAATGAATAGAGGTTAATATAGAGCACCTAGCACAGAGCTTTGTAAACAGTGGGTAGTCATTAAACAGTGGCTATCCCTAAGCCGAGCTGTACTAGGTCTCCCAGCAAAGATATTATTTCAGGGTTACTGACCTGTACCACTCCACTGATTGGTTCAGCTCTACCCCTATCTAAGCAAATTGAAAGCAAAGCTGATCACTTTAACAATAAATGTCGTAGAAAGACAGTGTGAAGTGGTAATTAAGGGATTCAACCTCATTAAACTCTGGCTGTATATCAGAATCACCTAGGGAACTTTTAAAATCAGGTTTAACTTAAGTATAATAAAATGTACTACCTAGAGCACCTTTTGAGGGGCTATGCAGAATGGTGGCATACGGGATCTTAATTCCAGGACCAGCACAGAGTCTTAGCCACTGGACCACCACGGAAGTCTCCCTAAAGCACCTTTTAATATCCAACCCCAGACCAATTAAATCAGGACTGGGTGCTCAAACATAGGTTTGAGCAGATGTCGAGGTTTCCCAGGTGGTTCTAATGTGTAGCCAGGCTTGAAGACCACAGAGAAGCCATAATGAAGCCTGTGCCATCAATTATTCACCTGATCTCCAAGTTTCACATGGACCACAAAATTTGATTTTAGAATAAAATTTCGCTTTTTTTTTTTTTTAGGAAAAATGGATGATTTTCCTAAAAAAAAACCTTAAGCTGTAGTGTTAAAGTATTTCTGTAGCAACTTTATATTGTCATTTATAGTCATATATCAAGGGTGTACATCTGCATTCTCTCCAATTCAGGGGCTTCTGAAGATATAGCTACATATACTTTGTGTCTCTCTCAAAAGAGTTATCAATATAATTGGTGACCTGTCATACAGACAAATATAGGAAGGATGTCTGCTTTGAAAATGTTTATCCTTAGCACCTAACAATTCTTTGCACACAGAAGCTAAGTGAAATTCTTACGGTTGTTGTGGAGGTGAATGAAATTCTCTGCAAGACAAATTATAGCTTGAGAGCTTCAAATTCTTCATCCATGAATTGGGCTAATGACTACCCCACATAGTTTTAGTGTGATTGGCACATAACCGATGGGCAGCTGTTACCTGTTCCTGCAGGTTAGGCTTCATTCTACTAAGAACTTAAAAACTGCTTTCCATTCTTAAAAAATGAAAACTTCTGTGACTTGAGAATTCCTTCAGTATCACTTACCGCTGCTTCCTCTGAGAAGTAGTCAGGCTATCCTCTTTTCTTTTTCCCTTACTAATTTCCTGGGATTTCTTCATGTTTTTCTGGCGGGCAAGTTCTCGTTGATTTCCACCTACAAAGAGAAACAGTCATGTTATTTTTCCACCTCCAAAATTAATAATTCCATTCTAAGGCTCTTATTTAAAAGGATCTGAAGTTTGCTTTTGAAGAGATGAGCCAGCAGCCTACTGCATGGAAAGGTGTTTAGGGATCTGACGACAAGGAGGAAGCTTAAAGGTAAACACGTCAGTTCTTAACAATATTATGGTGCCCATTAAGGTGCTCACTTACTATCAATACCAGACCTCTTAAAAGAGGCATTCCAATGGTCTGTCTATATGGGCCAGTATCCTAAAATAAGGTCTGGCTTTTTGAGATGAAGAGAGAAAGATCCACACCACAGAGCATATCTCGCACACGTTTTGTTGTTTTTAGTCGCTCAGTCGTGTCCGATTTCTTTTGCGACCCCCATGGACTGTAGCCCGTCAGGCTCCTCTGTTCATNGTAGCCCGCCAGGCTCCTCTGTTCATGGGATTTCCCAGGCAAGAATACTGGAGTGGGTTGCCATTTCCTTCTCCAGGGGATCTTCCAGACCCAGGGATAGAGTCTGCATCTCCTGTATTGGCAGGCGGGGTCTTTACCGCTGAGCCACCAGGGACGCCCTCGCGTAAACTGGCCCATTGTAATTCAACTGATAAGCGAGCAAATACAGATGTTTCCAAGACAGTACCTTCCAGGGCCAAACAAAGAACTAGGGAGGAGACCCTGTGCCCATTAGGCCTCCGGACTTTAAGTATTAAGTACCAGCATAGACCACCTCCAGACCTAGCACCTCGCTCCCAGGGATCTCCTCCACACGGCTCACCTCCGGGGAGGGGTTCCTTACGTGTCAACTCGCACCTGTGAGGCAGACACCTACCTGCCGGACCCTTCAGGCCGGACCAGACTCGATCGCCCCTCTCCCTCCGCGGACTAAAAGCCTGGTCCGCGCAGCTGCTAGACCAAAGGGGTTTCACCAGCCCGCCCCTGCCTCCTCGCCCGCCGCGCCGCGAAGCTCGACTTCCTCGCAGGACACTCCCCGCCGCTTTCCCTACCGGTCCGCACACTCACGGGCCATGATGACAACCGGACCGAGCCTGGAAGAGAATGACTAGCAAAAGCAACGACCGCCTCGCACGCTCAGCCGCCGTCCCCACGCGTGGATCTGGAAGACCGAGCCCCCGCCGGCCCCCCGCCGGGATACGCCTGTGCTCTGCCGGCGGCCCCGCCCACCGAGAGCCCACAACAGCCGCCGGCGTGGCCGGCGAGCGACTGCGCGTGCGCGGCCAGGAGGGCGGGGCTGTGCTCTGCTGGGGCTCCCGAGCCGCAGCTGCGGGAGTGGCACCGGAGGTCGCTCTCTGGGGTCCCTTCGGCCGCGCAAGTTTGGTAGCGTCCTGAAAGCGGCTCCTTGAGTCTGAGAGAGGTATAAGCGTGTGCGGATTTCCCATCCCTGTATCCGGGGCACTGGGGCTTCACTAGCCCCCGTATTTTTGGTGAAGACGTAAACACAACAGTATCTATAACTTTTCCGACAAAGAACATTAGTTTTTGTTGTTGTTGTCTCCCGCATCCCATTGTAGAGGCCGAACGGAGAGAAGGGGGACAGAACAGGTTGAAGGTTAATTGTGAAAGGCGATGTTGGCCCTTTACGTATTTTCCTTCTTTATTCACGCACCAAGCCTGCAGGGTAGGCTTGTGCTGTGCGGTGCTTAGTTGTTCAGTCGTGGCCGACTCTGCGACCTCAGGGACTGCCATGGGATTCTCCAGGCAATAACACTGGAGCGGGTTGCCAGGCCCTCCTCCAGGGGATCTTCCCAACCCAGGGATCGAATCCAGGTCTCTCACATTGCAGGCAGATTCTTTACCATCTGAGCCACCAGGGAAGCCCAAGGTAAGCTTAATTTTCATTTTAGGAAAGAGGAGCCNCAAAGAGTCAGACACTGAACTGAGCGACTGAACTGAACTGAACCTTAAACTTAGAAAAAAGCCGTGGAGCATCTACCATTGCTAGAAACAGATGTGTAGATGTTTAGTGCTTATTTTCTTTGTCTATTCCTCTACGACAAACTGAGAAATGTGTAGAGTTTGTCTGGACACTCTAAAATCACCCTATTTTTTAAAAGTCTTTAATTTGGAAGGTTTCATATATATACAAAGGTATAGAAAATACCATGATGGACCACTAAGTATATACGACCAAGCTTCAACAATTTTTATTTCACCTCATAAAAACTACCTGAGGGTTCTGGATGTGGAATATGTGGATATTGAAAGCCAAGCTTTCCCAATGAGTAGGTGTGTGAACTTGGGAATGTCATTTAATTGCATTAAAGCTTCCTTATCTAAAAATTGGGGAGGTAATTGTACCTCCTTCACTCATCGAATGAGTATATGTGAAGTGCTCATTGCTCAGCACAGGAATGTACTCACATGTTAGTTATATTGTCATCATTCTTTCAACCTCCCAGAGCCTGTCCTGCTTACCCCATCCCTGGATCCCACTCATCCTCCTCAGTCTCCTTACAGGGCAGGTGTCTGTTTCCCCTTCGAGTCCTCTTCTGCAGTAACTTGAGCAGGGGAAAAGATTGATTTTCTTTGTAGAGATAAAGAGATCATCTAAAGAGGAAGGGAGAGGAGTTTGGGATTAAAGTGAAGTGGTAGAATTGTTTCTGTGTGTGGTCTTAAGAGTCTAATTGAGTGTTTTCTTTGCAGCTACAAATGTAGTTTTTGAGTTTCAGGGATACACATGATATATACTATGTATACAAGTACTATGTGTGTCTGCCAGAGAAAACTGGGGACTTTTAAAATTATAATACTGTTAAGACTATACCAACTTTGATATGTAAAAATATCTTATGATTTTATCTTAAATAGTAAAATTGAATCTGACTCTATTCCCATCCCTTTGCAAATGAGAAATTAAATCCTAGTCATTATTTACTTCTTTACCTGCAGAATTGTGTGAATACCAGACTCTTAGGTGCAACAGGACACTTGGGGAAAGGTCTGGTGTCTTCAATGTATACCAGAATATGCTGTCCGAAGCTGTATGGTTCTGGCAGTAGCTCCGAGATTCTTGAGATATCTTCAGCAGGGGTTATTTTTATCAAGTCCTTGAGATTTCTTAGGTGTGTTTGAGGTCTTGTTCCCCTCCAGAGTACTGGAGGGAGCCCACATCAGACCTTCATTTCCTTCCCAGTCTTAAAGGAATCTCTTCAGATTTTTCAGCCTTGTTTTCCTACTCTTAAAAACACTTGTCTCTTTTCTTTCTGTTTCTGGATGAACTAGCAATCTCTCTAATCAGTTCAGGATTTTATTCCTTTGACATTTTGTTGTTAATGTAGTAAAATGTTCTTTTAGAATTTTCTTCTCCTAAGAAGGAAGTCAGGTCTTTGTTTTCCACCTATGAGTCAGGGGACTTGTATAACCAGTTCAAACACAGGCCCACAGTCTACAGTCTCAGCCTGTTCTCTGGACATTTTCTCTCTCATCATAGAGCACTTCCATAACCACCCTACATAGAGTAAGCCAGCCTCCCATTAACCTCTGTCATAATTTCCTTTAAATTTCTTTCATGGCATTTAATAATTCTTAAATTATCTTGTTCACATGAATTTTTCTCTGCCACCCAGTATGCCTTGCTTATTGCTCTATTGCTCCCTCTTGAAGCATATTAAGAATGTTCACATTAATTTACAAAGTTTAAATATAGTAACTTTTAAATTTCTTTTAATTTTTGACTGTGTCACAAGGTTTGTGGGGTCTTAGTTCCCTGACCAGAGATGAAACCAGTGCCCTTGGCAGTGAAAGTGCAGAGTGCTAACCACTGGACCTTCAGGGAATTCCCATGAACTATAATAATTTTTGAACAGAGATTATAGTCATGTTAAACAGTAAACAAGATATACAGTGAATGTTGTTCTTCCCATGACTTACTTCCCAGAAACATGGTTCCCTTCCTGGAAATTAACTATTACCACTTTCTTCACACTTGAATTTCTAATCTACATTCTACTCAATTTAGGAGTTTTTGGAGAACTTTATTTTTTGCCTTATTTGTTTATAGCTGTGCTGCTCCTTGCTGCAGCGGTGGGCTTTTCCTCTAGCTGTGGTAAGGCAGGGCTGCTCTAGCTGCTGTGCACGGAGGCATTGTGCTGGTTTTCCGTGTTGCTGAGCACAGGATCTAGGACCCAAGGGCTTCGGGAGTTCAGCTTGTGGGCTCTAGAGTGTGGGCTCAACAGATGTGGTGCAGGGGCTTAGTTGCCCCTTGGCGTGCGGAATCTTAGTTCCCGCATCAGGGATGAGACCCATGTACCTTGCATTGGATCAAGAATTCTTAACCACCAGAGCAGTCCCTTCAATTTAGAATTTTGAAGCCTTAAGATGTGCTGACGAACAGACAGTGTTCTACAGGACCCTCTAAAAATGGCCAATAGTTTAAAAAGAAATTTTTGGTCACATTACCTGGCGGGTGGGATCTTATTTGCCCAACCAGGGATGGAGCCCAGTGCCCTCTGCAATGGGATCACTGGATCATCAGGGAAGTCCCAAGGCCAGCAATTTTAATAATTTCCATCAAAGTGTGGGCTGAGGGATTTACTACTTCCTTCTCCTTTGAACAACTCCTAAGGACCCCAGGAGAGGGAAGAGCACACTGCCCCAAGTCTCTCTTTCAGTATTTCCGGTTCCCGGGTAACCAGGCTCCCTAGTTGACAGTTACCATGGCTCCCGTCGCTCTACGTCATTCTCCGGCGCTGGATGATGACGCGATCAGTTCCGGCGCTCTCCGAGGGCGGGGGAGCAAGGTATAGGAGAAAACTTAGCTATTAGCGTAGCAGGGTCATGAAGAAGAGGCGGCGGCGGGAGATCCCGAGCGGTGGCGGGGGCGCGAAATTGCGGTAGCTGGCCGCTGGGCTGGTGGTGTGGCTTTGTGGGAAGGGCGTAGTTCCTAAAGCCCTCTGCGGGCAGCGGCCGGGGCTCGGGGCTGCGAGCGGCCCTGGGGCCGCCTCCCCGGGCCCCCTGGCTCCGCCATGTTCCGCAGGGCACGCCTTAGCGTGAAGCCGAATGTCAGGCCCGGAGCAGGCGCCAGGGCCTCCACCGCCCCCAGTTCCCAGCGTGAACAAGAGGTTCCAAGGCCGCCGGAGCCTGCCGCAGCCTCTGCTCCGAAGCCAGCGGAATCCACAGATGTGCCCCCGGTGGATTTCGGGGAAGCGGAGCCCCAAGAAAAGACTCCCAAGAGCAGGTAAGTGCTCTCAGAGGGGAGCATTTTCATTTGCCCCCGCCTCTCTGGTAGCGTCACCTGGAAGCTGAGCAAAGAAAGTTTACCGTAAAAGTACTCCCTCGCTTGCGCTAAGCCTGACAGTTGAGGCCCACGAACACGCTGCCAACTGCAATTGTTCCCTCTGACCACGGTGTGGCAGGTGTGGGTTTTGTTACGGGGTGTAGATTCTCGGGGAGAGGACCATGTCTTCAAGTGGTGGGGGGAGGAATCCCGGTCTAACAGTCTTCGGGAAAACTCACACGTGGTACTATTCATTAGAGCATTTAGGTTACCACTGTTTTCATCCTTTTGAAGTACATTGCAGGGGTAAGTTTTTTTTTTAATCTTGAAAACATTTATTTTTAAAAGAAGAGCAGTGTTATTTTGATTCTGCTGATTTATGTCAGTGGCAAGGAGGTCTGGTTACTTGTTTTGATTTGTGGGTGTGTCCCTTTAACTTTAGTGAACCTGTTTTCTGAACAGAAAAGCATGTATCATGTACCACATTTGGATTCAGGATTCTTCTACTTAATTTTATAGTTTATAGACTTTGCTCAGGCAGAATTTACTCATCTGCAAAATGGGGATAACTCTCACTTCAAGAGTTATTTTGGAGATTAGAGATAACTGATAAAAACTATCTTGCACAGGACATGCGGAATAGTTGCCTATCTTTAGGTGTTTAAAAGTGAGGCAACAAAGTAATTGAAGTTAAGATACGTTAAGCTAATAATGACCTCTGTTTCTATACTGTAAATGTTAGGGAACCATTGAAAATCAACCCTATTAAATAACGGTGAGATGGTATAAATTTCTTTTATATTATGACAGGAAAGTGACAATTTCTTTTTTATTCTTTTTTTTGGTTTGACTTCTTCTGTTGATCTCAGCTGACGCTTAGTAATTTGCAAGTTTTTTACATGAATTTGTTTAAGAATTTCTCCCAACAG